AGTATGTCTCAATACGTTCTTTCGTTCTATATAAGTCTTATCTCACCGTCGTGCGAATTAAGGGACTTGTACCCAGTCTCCCACGGTATGAAATTATCGGGCAATTGATGAGCATGAGTGGTAGTAAGAAGGTTTCTATCATAAAACACAAACATCTCCATTTAATGTAAAGTGCAAGGCGGACTGTTTTACAGTTATGAATGGTTATACTCAGTGGATAAAGTTATCCACTAGTTAAAGTTACATGTATCCACTCCTGAGATATGGGATTTTATCCACTGGATAAATTGAGATTAATTATCCATTGTATTAAGTGCTATTACCTTTTGTACAACCAGACCAAGTTGTCTGAATGGGAACTGTGAAAATAAGAGCGTTATCACATTTCGCCACTTGAAAAATCGTGAAATTTTATCTTGTAGACTCAAAATGAATTAACTTTAAGTGAGACTTCATCTGAAGGTGGGCGAACATTGTGCAGGTAAGGGTGGGCTGYGATGACTGGTTATAGCAGTTGTAGGTTTCTATACCACACTTATGGACTGGGGTACCGATCCTGGTATCAAATTTCACCACATTATTAAAAATGCCTTTCTTTAACGTTTATGATTTTTTTAAAGATTTTTTAGAAAAATTGCTGATTCTGGTAAATTGAAGAACCTGAATGAAAAGTATTTTCTTGTGTTTGCCTATGGACCTGCTAGTAAGTAAGAATGATTTTAACTTTTAAAAATTTTAAGTTAATAGAATATTCATATTATATGTAAGAGGCTTGTTCTTAAAGTACATAACCTTAATCAGATGCACAAGATGGTGACAAACCTGGATATCATGGAAGCTCGAAAAAAACATCTGCAAAAGCTGTGGATCTAGCGAGTGATTTAAGTGTAGCAGCAGGTGGAGCAGACATGGTTCTCGTCAAATCACATGGTAATTAATAAACCTAGCAATAAACCAGTCAATATCATCTCTTTTTGAGTTTTTGTTCCCCTCCCTCCCCCACTGAGTCTGATCTGCTGCAAAGGCTAAAAATTTACATCAAACACAAACACAGTTGACTCTATATTACATATTATTATTATACTATATTTAAGAAATATAAAACGGCGCRCGTGTCTCTGTCCTCTGATATAAACACGGTGGGAGTTTGAAAAACACGAGAGAAGCAAGCTTAGGAACACAAGCGTAGCGAGACACAAGCGGCCGTTTTATATTTCTTTTATAACATTTTTCGAGCAAAAAGAAAATTTTGCCGGTAAGCCGTGTCTCTGTCCTCTGATATAAACACGGTCGTCAGCCAATCAGAGCGCGCGTTATATATCAAAAATTTTATAATATTATATATAATACTATAATATATACGTGTACTATTATAATATTAACTTAAATACTCTTTACTACATCAGTGTGTCACTATGACATTCAATAAATTTTGCACTAGTCTATTGTGTATTCTTGGGTTGTCGTAGGAACTCTTATGACCATAGCCTGGATGGGTTTTGTTGCCATTGGTATTTTCATGGCAAGGTATATGAAACTTATGTGGGCAGATAGAACAATATGTGGTGTAAAAGTTTGGTTTGCGGTAAGTCATGAAAAATATCACTATAATTTGGAAATTTGTGACATTTAATCTCCAAGAAACAGTTTTCTGTGCTATGATCATGAAAAATAAACAAAGACTTACATACAAGTATTTTTGCATAAAAGAAGTAATTTATAATATGTAGTTTATTTAGCACTTGAGTAGTGCATTGATGCAAATGCATGCAAAGGTACAATTTTTACCAGCAAGTACTTTTCACAACCATGGCACAGGGAACTGTGAAGCARCGCTGTTCATCATTTTCTGCTTTTTATTTTTTAGTTTCATCGTACATTAGTGATTCTTGGGGTTCTGTTTACTGTTATTGCTATTATACTGATATTTGTTCATCGCRAAGGATGGTCTGAGGTACTCAATATTGTTATATTATATACCTTCGATAAATACAGCCTTTTGCAAAAATTATGAGAATTGTTGAAATATCTAAATATCATAATATCGAGTGCATGATGGGTAATCCCGCGCAATGCCCTTAGTCCCTTGTCTTCGTTGTTTAGTTTTTTTTGGCGACGGACTTATTCGTAGTTCTGAGCATTTTCTCGATGTCAACAATGAATTATTCTAGCAAACCTGCGTCGTGTTCCGGACAATATATGGATATGGATATTATGATATTTAGATATTTAGACAATTCTCATAATTTTTGCAAAAGGCTGTATAACATATAAATTGTCTATTTTACATTCAATGTTTGATATTTTTTATATAATTTTTTTGTATTTTTTTCAGGGCATTGGTGCTCATCCATACACTGGTATTATAACTTTTGCACTGGCTATTATAAACCCTATCATGGCCTTGTTTCGTCCTCACCCAGGAGAGCCAAAGTAAGGAAAAACTAAATCAAAACATTTGAATTCAATAAATGGAAATGCATCCTACAAATCTTCTCACAGCCACTTTTTAGCTAATTCCCAATGGGAGAGACCTGATGGATAGTGGACAGTTTTCTGTTCGCAATCTAATCAGGCCAGACAATTGCAATTGAATTATTCATGTTSTCATTGATGTTTGGTATTGTTTTTTTCAGACGCTATATTTTTAACTGGGCTCATCGGTTGGTTGGTCTGACGGCYTTCTGTTTAGCAGGTGTGTGGATAAGTCATTAATGTAATTCAAGACATGAAAATTAAAAGAAACTGGACATCATCATTGCCATGCATGTATTTGTTTTGATTGTACAGTACAGAATAGGTTTATTAATATTTCAGTTATTTTTAAGTCAAATTAAACTTTTATTGTTAGCATTGTAATGTCAGTGTTACATGCATGCAATGGCTTTAAGTTTGCACTTTTAAAACTCTCTTTTTATTTAAAACTCTATTTAAAACTCTCTTATTTAAAACTCTCTATTTAAAACTCTTTTTAGTTAAAACTCTCTATTTCTTTTGTTTCTCTACTAACAGTGGTAACCATATTCTTGGCAATATTCTTCAAGCTACTCAACATCAAGGACTCTGGTCTKCCWGTCATGATWACCTTTTGTGTTGGTATTGCTGTTGTACTGATTGTTGACATCATTCTTCGTGTGAGGTCACRGAGCAGTGATAATCAATTCACTCCAGGAACACAAGGAAAAGGTGAGAACCATTTGGTGGCATAATGATTGTGTTAAAATTGAAAGATTTCCAAACCTACTGACAAAATTGCCTTTTGAGTGTTTTCTGTGCTGATATCGAGAGATCATTGGCTTGAGATGACTAGTGAGCATTCAAAAAGACAATGATTTAAATTTAAAGTTGCTGGCTCTCTATTTAATGACAGCGAGATCTGACCAGTAACATTTATACATACGGTAGTTTGCAGTTACCTTTAAGATGGTGTGTCACATTTAGGAAAGCTGTAGTCTTCTTGTTACCTGCTAAAACTAGGCCCAAACCTCTTGGACTCTTCTCTGAGAAGGGATACAAAGGGATACCAAGTGTTATGAAAACCCAATCCCAGTCCCATATTTGTTAGTTAATAACAATTTTGAATCTGGTATCATTTTTTGATCTTCAGTTGAGCAAATGCAAGAGGAACAGCCRACAGCCAACTCAACTGTGAGTACGATTCCATGTTCAATGATTCAATATGTTTGATAGTACAATTGCATTACCGTCAGTGATTTGCAAAGTGGCACAGATTTTGCATGAACTGTATAGCACAGTTGACAGCATGCATCTTGTTTAACACATGGTTCTGTAACAGACCTTTGCATAACCAAGTCAATGGCATTAAATTGCAAAACTCCCCTTCAATGACATTCTTGAATTTGATTCTAAAATTGTTTCTTTTTATTTAATATTCTTTAGGATAACACCATTCGCTTCATTGCCTTTGGTTTTTGGGTTCTGATAGCTGTCTCAACTACAGTGGCCCTYGCAGTTATTATCAATGTTAACTAGATGTAACTAAAGTTATGTATAGTTTAATTGCTGAAATTGTCATGTGCGAACTCGAATGGGCTGAAAAACACCATTATTTTGTTGTTTTTGCTTCCCTCAGATCAAAACTCCATATGCTTAATATTAACATTGAACTGCTTTTCAAAACAAAATAAGCTTCCACTTTTGCAGTTGCCTTACTAATAATTRCACACAGAAAGTCCGCACAGTAGTAAGGGTGCCTGACAATACAATAAGTCAGCGTTATGCACTGGTTTTATAAAATTAAGCACTGGTCTCAGCTTCTAAGAATCAGGAAATTTTGTTATTAATATTGTTAACTAAGAGAGAAAGTCCASGTATGTGGCAATGCTGGATTCTTAAAAAATGTTTTTGACTATTTCAATTTTGATTAGGTTTTTAGCTGTATGTTTTGAGCTTTTATCTCTTTAATATGGTCTATAATACAATGTAAAATATCTGGTGAATGTTCTTTTAAAGCTATGGTGAGTAAAATGGGACGATTTGATTGGTCAGTCTCATCACTTGCTGCCATGGCGATTTGTCGACCATACACATGCCAGATTGGCTGCAAAGAAAATAATTATATTAATCATTAAAAGATAATATTATCAACAATAAACAATAAATATATGATAATAGACTTTTTAACTTATGCACTTCCAATACATGTACCATATTCAATATTATATAGTCTCCTCTCATACATGTAGCAGCTGTTATGAGGTTCGTACCCAGGATTCTCCCTCTAATGCTGTTAGGGGAAACACCTGGGAACTAGACTATATTAAATACTGTAATTATAATATCTTCATTTTAATTTTACAAAACATGTAACCATTATATACATGTAGCTCTTTTTTTGAGAGGAAAGAGAGACTTCTGCAGAGAAGGTTATATATATAATCATTGCAAACAAATAAAGTTGATGACCTCACAAAACCAAAAGATGCATTGTTTTAAGGTGTGTTCTATGAATCATTATATTAATGGCAATGAAATACTGGGGTAATGCTCATAAAAGGCATATTGCTAATCCTGAATACCCAAATAGATATCTTGGGTGAATTACCACTGCTATGTGATATTAAAGACAAAAGTAATATGTTGAATAAGCAATAGACTGCCACCTTTCAAAATCTTTGACATTGTTTTATAACAGCTGTTGGTAAGACCAAAGATCCTTAATTTGATGACTTATGGCAGTCTATAACTAACAATTGTACCATTGTACATCAGAATTTTGTCTGGATTGGTTGGTTTGCCATACAAACTACAGTAAAAKGGGAAGCACCATATTAACTTACCTCGTCCTTYCCCATGAGTACTTTAGTTGAAAAGGTTGCCTGTGTATGTGGATTGTCAGTTGGGGTCAAWTTTTTTGAAAGTGTCTTTTC